AAGAGGATGACCTGAGCTCAGGAGTTAAGCAAGAGTAAGGCCCTATCTCTATTAAAAATAGAAAAATTAGCTGGGTTTTATGGTAGGCACCTATAGTCCTGCCTACATGGTAGGCTGAGGCAGGAGGACTGCCTGAATTTGAGGTTGCCATGAGCTAAGCTGGCACTCTAGCCTGGGCAACAGAAATGGTCTCAAAAAATAAAAAGAGAGGCCGGGTATGGTGGTTCAAGCTTATAATTCTAGCACTCTGGGAGATCAAGGCAGGTGGAGTGCTTAAGCTCATGAGTTTGAGACCAGCCTGAGCAAAAAGTGAGATCCTGACTCTACTGAAAATAGAAAAGCTGGGCAGTGCCTGTGGCTCAAAGAAGTAGGGTGCTGGCCCCATGTGCTGGAGACGGTGGGTTCAAACCAAGCCCCAACCAAAGACTGCAAAAAAAAAAAAAAAAGAGAGGTTGCTGTGAGCTACGATGCCACAGCACTCTACCCAGGGCAACAACTTGAGTCTCTATTTCAAAACAAAAAACAAACAAAAAAAAAGCAAGATTGAGATCTTTCTAGGACTTACCAGTTATTTTAGTATACCCAAGGGAGATAAGAAGTAGAAGTCATAGAGATGAATAAACTGACTTAATTTAAAGAAAATCTGAATATTAGCTCAGAAAGTCAAAGTTAAATCATAAAGCATTCCATGCTTTAAACAATTACTACTTTTAACAGACTTATACAGTAGTCCTCCCTTATAGCTTCATAGCTCTGTTTACCAGATCAACTGTTGAGATACCTCTGTGCATATGCTCAATAACCCTTATTTCACTTAATAATGGCTGCAAAGGCTCAGCGCCCTAGCACAGTGGTTATGGTACCAGCCACATACACTGAGGCTGGTGGGCGCCTATAGTCCTAGCTAACTTGGGAGGCTGAGGCAAGAAAATCGCTTAAGCCCAAGAGTTTAAGGTTGCTGTGAGCTGTGACACCACAGCACTCTACCCAGGGCAATAGTTTGAGGTTGTCTCAAAAAAAAAAGGGGGGTGGTGGTGGTGGTGACAGGTCTCAACTTAGTAAGGACAGAAAAAAGTTGAAGCTGCTAAAATATACAATAACAGAAAGAGGAGGAGGAGGGAGGGTAATTGGTGAAACCACAGCTATGGTGCATTTTACAAGGATACATGTTAAATCTACTAAGTGTAGACTATAAATGTGTTAACACAATAACTAAGAAAATGCAGTGAAGGCTATGTTAACCAGTTTCATGAAAGTATTTCAAATTGTATATAAAACCAGCACATTGTATCCCATAATTGTATTAATGTACACAGTTATGACTTAATTCTATATACATATATATATATACAGTAAGAATAGATTATCTGTGAAATAGTGAAAGAAAAGTTTCTGCTGTTGCCCCTAAAACTGCAAGTCATAAACACAGAGATGATTAAGTGCTTACTTAAGATGGAGAAAGCATGAAATCTGTGGGTGGGATTACGCTTAATTCACAACCAATCTATGCTTTCAAATATTGTATAAAATACGAATTTTGGGCTATGGTTCAGTCTAGACTGTAATCAATAAAAATTAGTTAAGGCCTATGTTCTAATTCCAAGTAAAATAGCTATATTAATTAGTTTCATACCAAAATCATTCCTGAAACAGATTTCAAAACAAAAAATTATGAATATAACATTAAATGAATGGGGGGAGGGAAATGTAAAAAACAAAGTAAGACTTCAATGTTAATGGCTGAATTCTTAGTTTCAATTTACTTACATTTTATTTGCTTTTTCTGGAGTTTCAAATTCCTTCCACAAACTGTCAACCTCTTGAAGTTTCTTCTCATTTAAAACCTGAAATAAAATGTTTAGTTTTCTTTAAATGGCATAGTTTAGGCATATATATCTGTATTTTTAAAATAACTATACATATAAATTGAGGGTGATAAAAGCTATTTTTCTCACTGAAATAGTTCTACACAGCATAAATTTTTGTACAAACTGGTAGTTTGAGTTGCCCATGTAACATCTGAATGAAATACAGATCTAATCATGGTCTTTGCTGAGAATGCTTTTTAATTTTATTTATTATTATTACTATTTCTAGTGATTGAAACTTGCTATGTGAGCCAGGCTGAAAACTGCAATCATAGTTCATTAACAGCCTCCCCCAGGCTCCTAAGCAGGTGGTACTACAGGTCCTAGGCAGGCCATGCTATCAATCTTTCTTTTAAAAGAGCTATTAACTGGCAAGGGGAGGTGGCTCATGCCAGTAATTCTAGGACTCTGGGAGGCAGACAGGTGGATTGCCTGAGCTCTCAAGTTCAACACCAGTCTGAGCAAGAGTGAGACCCTGTCTCTAAAAATAGCTGGGCATTGTGGTGGGCGCAAGTAGTCCCAGCTATTCTGGAGGCTAAGGCAAGAAAATCACTTGAGGCCAGGAGTTTGAGATTGCTATGAGCTATGATACCACAGCACTCTTATCCAGGGGGACAAAGTGAGACTCTGTCTCAGAAAAAAACAAAACAAAACAAAAAAAGGCGACATTAAGCACTTTCACAATGCATAATGTTTGTGAAATTTTATATACATCAGGTTATATATAAAATGTATTCCTTGGACAGTGCCTATGGTTCACTGAGTAGGGCACCAGCCACATATACTGATAGTGGCGGGTTCAAACACAGCCCCGGCCAAACTGCAACAACAACAAAGAATAGCTGGGCCTTGTGGCAGGTGCCTGTACTCCCAGCTACTTGGGAGGCTGAGACAAGAGAATTGCCTAAGCCCAGGAGTTGGAGGTTGCTGTGAACTGTGATGCCATTGCACTCTACTGAGGGCGATAAAGTGAGACGCTGTCTCTTAAAAAACAAAACAAAACAAAACAAAAACGAACCACCTAATAGCCCTGTACTGTAAATATGTCCACTTCTGAGAGAAACAATCCATAATATTCCCTAATATTCACCCTTTTAAATTCACTTTTTATTAGTATTATGTTCACAAAATTATGCAGAACTCCTGCACGTATTATTTAGAAATGATCAAATAATATTACTTTCAAATAATTATAAGTTAATTATGTCACTGTATTCAAGTCCACTTTTAGTTATTTTTCTAATACTTGGTTACATAAACCACAACTTAATAATCCTGAACAGGACAGCGCCTGGGCTGGTGGATCGAACCCGGCCCCAGCCAAACTGCAACAACAACAAAAAAATAGCTGGGCGTTGTGGTGGGCGCCTGTAGTCTCAGCTCTTGGGAGGCTGATGCAAGAGAATTGCCTAAGCCCAAAAGCTGGAGGTTGCTGTGAGCTGTGACATCACACCACTCTACCGAGGGCAACAAAGTAAGACTCTGTCTCTCAAAAAAAAAAAAAAAATTTTAAACAGCAGCTTAAAGAAAACTACTCAAAATTACATCAGAATAACTCAGATCTTTATGGGGCAGGATATTCTTTTTAACAGACTATTAACAGGGCAGTGCCTGTGGCTCAAAGGAGTAGGGCACCAGCCTCATATACCCAAAAGTGGTTGAATTCAAACCCAGTCCCAGCCAAAAACTGCAAAAAGATAAAAATAAAATAAAATAAAATAAAAAATGGACTATCAACAGATATGGGTGAACACTATTTTACGACCACGGTCTTGAAATCAAACAACTGCTAAATCAATTCCTTCCTACCATGGGAGACCATCAGTGGACTGTGTAGAATGGCTCCTTTTTAAGATCCAGTTCAGTATGGCATACTAGACATAACAGACCATATTAACTAAGTGAACTTGAGACATATGCTATTCTACATAAGAATTGAGATTCTAAAAAAGTGTAGAAAAATAAAGTAGAGATGATGTTTTCTTAAAAGGTACCTTACAACTGTTAACACTACAATCACAGATAACTCCAAAGAAAGGAAAAACAAGCAAAGCTGTCTTTTGATTTTTATTTATTATATTCTTGGTCTTTCAAAAAATAAGTATTTGACATAACAAATGCAAATAAAGGTATATTTTGAAGCGTCAAAAGTGACGCTTAAGAGAAATAAAAAGTGAGAGCTCTCTTCGCTTCCAGACTTTCTGAATCCATGCTACAAACACGAATACAATTTTTTTATTCAGAACTATAATTGTACCATTTTTACCTAGGACTTTTTGCTTTATATCAACAATATAAACCTAGAATATATAAGAAAATTAAAACTTTTGTTTTTCGTTGCTATATTAGTACAGAAGAGTTCCTGATACATGGAAGGAACTTCTGTGCCGATAAACGTAACTTAACGCCAAACATTCCCTTTTAAAACAACCAAATGTCGAATTGACATCACCAACCTAGATTTCTTCCCTAAGCTCCAAACTTGAAATACCGAACTGCCCGAGCTACAGGCGAATTACATTATCACACCTGAAAGACAACACAAGTTCCACGCAGCCCAAACGGGCAACCCAACAAACTTTCTTAACCACACATCTCACTTAAACCAAAATCCACATACAGTCCGGTTTTCTCAGTTTCCAAACCAGCCTTAATCCAAGGAATTTCACCTTGTCTAAATTAATGCAAGTATCCTTGCATTAATATCTTACTATCTCTTGTTTCCCCATAATCTGAGTCTCCACACAGCAAAGTAATCTTATTAAAAGCCAAGTTATATCGGATCATCCCTCTGCTTAAAACTCTTCGATCATTCTTCGAAACACCCAGAATAAAACCCAAACTCTGTACTATAACCTGTACAACTCTAATAAGGCTCCTGCCCACCTTTTCACTCCTACCAAACCCACTAAAGCAGAAGAGGTCGCCCCAAACAGCGGTGCCACGTGTTAACCGAAATACGGCCTCTCAGGTCTAAAGTCCTTTTCCTTCCTCCGGAGACATAAAAGGCGTCCAACTGAGTAATTCTCTCCTTAGGTCTTCATGTCTCCCAGGATCTAACACTGGCCTGACCTCTCCAACGGTTCAATCTCCCACCCCTACCTTAAAGATGGCGTAGCCCACGGACGTTTCAAATAGCACCAACATGGTGAGGCCGGGTCAGCGTGCCGCGCGGCCGGCCACCAATCTTATCCCTGTGTAAAAAAAAATTTTACGGCTCCCAAAGGCCCGCTACACGGCGGCGGGCAAAGCACAAATGAGCACGCCTTTCCGCCAAGAACCAGACCACGTTTCCTAAACGTTCCACGCCTAACTGCAAGTAGAACGCAAGAACGCGCTTCTTCTTCTCCAAGGATTCTGGGATACCGACGTCACTTCCGACAGAAGATTGCCGCAGAGCAGGCTCTCACTTCCAGACTGTTCCCGCCTTAAGGGGCGGGCTGGACTTCGAAAATCCTACCTCGCGAGATCTCCTGGGGACCCAACCGATCCTTGGGTCAGCCTGAGATCTAGAAGAGAATTTGGTATGTTTTTGAGTTTAAACTCTCCCAAGGCACCTACAGTCCCAACCACTCGGGAGGCTGAAGAAGGACGATCACTCGAACCCAGGACCTTGAGGTTGCTGTGAGCTATGACGCCATAGTATTCTACCTTGGGCAATAGACTCGTCTCAAAGGAAAAAAAAAAAAAAGAATTCATGGATGTATAAGCAGAAAAGAAGAGAGCGAAAAATAAAAAAATAATTGGGGCCCTGCAAGTGGGAAATGCTGACTGCTTCCAAACCATAATAGTAAGATATTAGAAAGATTTTCAGGCCAGGCTCGGCGGCTCTCGCCTGTAATCCTAGCACTCTGGAAGGCCGAGGTAGGCGGATCCCCTGAGCTCCGGAGTTCAGACCAACCTGAGCCAGATCTACACCTCATCTCTAAAAATAGAGCCGGGCGTTGGGGCGGGCGCCTATAGTCCCAGCTACTCGCGAGGCTGGGGCAAGAGAATCGCTTAAACCCAAGAGTAGGAGGTTGCTGTGAGCTGTGACGCCACGGCACTCTTTCAAGGGTGACATAGTGAGACTGTCTCAAAATAAAAAAAAAGAAAAGAAAGGGGAAAAAAAAGTACAAATCTTAAAACTATTTCAATATTCATAATAATGTTGGTATTGTTATTATATGTATCAAGTATAAAGTAAAGCCTACAAACATTTTATCTTTTTAATGTCTAGGTTCAAGGATGCCTACCTTTTTATTCTTTATACAAATATTGCTTGATTGTAGCTTCTCTATTTTTTGAAGAGTTTCATTAGGGGTATATTAATTAGTCATTTCAAAAAACCAAGTTCAGGGCGGCGCCTGTGGCTCAAAGGAGTAGGGCGCCGGCCCCATATGCCGGAGGTGGTGGGTTCCAACCCAGCCCCGGCCAAAAAAAAACAAAAACAAAAACAAAACAAATTCGACTTTCTTTTTTTGTTTTTTTTTTTTTTTTTTGACAGAGCCTCAAGCTGTCCCCCTGGGTAGAGTGCAGTGGCATCACAGCTCACAGCAACCTCCAAGTCTTGGGCTTAAGCGATTCTCTTGCCTCAGCTTCCCAAGTAGCTGGTATTACAGGCACCGACCACACGCCTGGCTATTTTGTGGTTGTAGTTGTCATTGTTGTTTGCCAGGCCTGGGGCTGGATTCGAACCTGCCAGCTCCTGTGTATGTGGCTGGCACCCTAGCCGCTGAGCTATTTCTTTTCTTTTTTGAAACAGTCTGATTTTGTCCACCTGATAGAGTGCCCTGGCATCCATAGCTCATAGCAGCCTCGGACAGGCGTGAGCCACGTGTCCAGCCAAGTTTGACTTTCTTGATCCTCTTGAACCTATATTGTAGGTTTATTGCTATTTTATTTCTATTTTTACCTATCTCCTCCTTTGCATTTTCTTTGTTTTTAGAGATGTCACCTGTAATCCCAGCACTTGGGAGGCTGAGGCAGGTGGATTGCCCTGAGCTCACTGCTTCAAGACCAACCTGAGCCAGACCCAGATCTCTCTTGAAAAATAGCCAGGTGTTTGGAAGGTGCCTGTGGGTCAGTGAGTAGGGCGCCGGCCTCATATGCCAAGGGTGGTGGGTTCAAACTTGGCCCAGGCTAATCTGCAACAAAAAAATAATAGCCAGGCAGTGTGGTGGGGCATATAATCCCAGAGGCTGAGGCGAGAGAATAGCCTAAGCCTAAGAGTGGGGAGGTTGCTGTGAGCTGTGACAACACAGTACTCTACAGAGGGCGTCAAAGTGAGACTCTGTCTCAAAAAAAAAAAGAAAGAAAGAAAGAAAGAAAAATAGCTAGGCATTGTGGCAGGTGCCTGTAGTACCAGCTACTCCAGAGGCTGAGGTAAAAGAATCGCTTGAGCCCAAGAGTTGGAGGTTGCTGGGAGCTATGACGCTATGGCACTCTAGCGAGAGCTACAAAGTGGCTCAAAGGAGTAGGGCGCCAGCTCCATATACCAGAGGTGGTGGGTTCAAACCTGGCCCCAGCCAAAACCACACACACAAAAAAGCATAGCTCACAACAATCTCAAACTCTTACACTCAAGGGATCCTCTTGCCTCAGTCTCCCAAGTACCTGGGACTACAGGCACCC